CCCCAAAACCCCAAAACCCCAAAACCCCTTCCCTAAACTAATTTAATCCTAAATATTTATATAAAATAACTTCTAAAATGAGACACAAAAAGAGTATTTCTCTCCATGGGCCTGACACCATACGCTTTGCACAAGTGTACAATAATCTTGTCCCAAAGAAGTAAGCCATTTTTGACAGAGCCATGATTGGTTCTTATAAGTCATATTTGGTTCTACTAAGTAGTAAAGAACAGAACTCAATGAAATTTGGATAATTTAATGATAAAAAGGACTAACAGGCATGGTGAAGGGAAATTTAACTAAATTTGAGGAGCTTTGAAGAGTTAATTAGGCCAATTTTTGGAAAATAATAATAGGTTTAAAATTGCTAATGCACAATAGATTACAAATAGATTAAATTCAGAATTTTCTAAATTTATGGCTTGAAATACAACATTAAAATTTGGGTTAAAATATTAAAATAATCGAAAGATTCTTATAGTCAGCTAATTTAGAAGCGATCTAATTTTAATACAGATTGAACACTTCAAATTCTCCAAGTGATTACGCAGATTCTTTTCAGGCTCCTAAAAAGGTAATAAACTCATCAATAAATTCTGACTTTACTTCTAGGAGCATTAGGATTCTTTTAATTTCTAGGCTTTTCAAGATTTATGTGAAATTAATACTTTTTATAGATGTTGATCCCATCTTCTGGTAAGAATATGTCAAGTTTATGAAAGAACCTTAACTTTAATTAGCCATTTAGGGCATAATTGCTTGCATCTTAAGCAATAGCATGATAATTTTATGCTAGAATGAAAGGAATAAAAGAATACAATATTATTCAATGAGATTTGGATTATTAGAGTTTCACTAGCCTAAAAAATATAGAAAACCAATATCCATTGAAAAATTCAATCGATGCCAAACCTCAGCTAAAATAAACCTCAAATTTGCCAAGATCTCAAGAGCAAAAAGGCGAAATTTACATCTCTTAGCATAAAATCGCTCTCTGGTTTTAATGAACGACTTAAAATTGCCAAGTAAGATATCCTAAACTCCGTTTATCTAATTTATCCACAGAAAAATTGCCATGAAAGTATTACTTCCATTAACTCTCCAGAAGAACAAGAGCTTAAAAGAAAAGGATATGAGCCACAGAATTTCTGTTTACAATAAATCAAAGTTTAACCCTGTCCCCAATCCAGATAACCCTTCAGGATTTGGGATGGGCTTTAAGGTACTTATTGTTGACCAATATAGATCGAGAGGCTAGATCCTATATGTCTAGACATCACCTCACTTCGGCCTAAAATGAATTTCTTCAAGACAAGTAATTCCTAACTAAGCTCTAGGTGCATTCCCTCATATAAAATATAACTCAACTAGACAGAACTATAATGGTAATATTTTCATGGAGATTTAGAAGACAAACCTAGTGAGCGCAAAGCTTCGCATAAAAAGTAAGGCAAAGAAGGATCATTTAGACTAACCAAAACTTCTGGAAAAACAACCAAGCAGGGCTCTAAAGCTATTTTCAAAGGATTTACTGCAGGAAATGGTCAGAATGAGGAAGAAAAGAACTTAAAAGGTATTAATCTTTAAGACCTATTTAGACTTTTGCCCTAATATTGATATTGTAAATGGACTCAAACATGTAAGATTTCCCAAAAACCCTCTAATATATTCATAGCTTATGGCAAAGAATAATCAAAAGCCTAAGAGTTTTTTAAAACCCGAATTTGAATCCAGTTTTCCGACTTACAAAACAAGCACAGCAAGGAGGGGACTAAACCTCTGGCTTAGAAAGGATAGTTCAGTTCCAAGATCAGAGTCCGCTTTTGGAGGTTTGGAGATTATTGATCCTCTCAGGTCAAGGTAAGTGTCTCTTCTAAAATCTTATATAGCCAGATTATAAAGAAACGTAAAAGGAACTAAGAGCATGCACACATTAACCATAAATAAGAAAAAGAGTATAGATCTATCAAGAAGTAAATTATTTAATAGCTTTAGAATAAGATTACACTTAATTCAGTACTCAGAGGGCATCTCCAGAAGGGTGTCACGGTTAGAGGAAAATCAATGAGAGTTATCGAACCAGATCCGAAGATGACAACACTGGTAATTGGTAGAATTATCATAGACACCTAATCTGAACACTTCAAGTAAACTTTATCAGAATCCTACTCAAACAACTCCAACAAAGCATGAATTAAGAGGAAGAGAGATTGGCTATTCAAAGACTCTACGAAACTCAAAATGCCCTAAAAATACGCTAAAGAACAACTTTTTAACAGATCTAAGCTCACTACAAACAAAGACACATATCAAAGACTCTCTCAACGCATACATCACCCACAACGGCCGGAGTATCCCCCATCCTAACCCCATCTAGCCAAAAATATGCCTAAAATCTACTCTCTTCCCCTCTCCAAACCCGACCAGTCTCCTTCCCACCCCCAAAACCCCTCTCAGCCACCAAAAAATCGGGTCCACTACAACCAAGATATTCTTTCAATAATGTAAAAATTCTCTGGGGTTTTGGGGTTTTGGGGTTTTGGGGTTTTGGGG